GCAAGCAAGCAAGCAAGCAAGCAAGCAAGCAAGCAAGCAAGCAAGCACGCAAGCACGCACGCACGCACGCACGCACGCCCGCCCGCCCGCCCGCCCGCCCGCAAGCAAGCCAGCAAGCAAGCAAGCAAGCAAACAAACAAACAAACAAACAAACACATACACTGATGCACACTGACTACTGTGTACGCACGAGATCGAAGCGTGCGAGGGGTAGAGCCACCATGGTAGAGCTCCGCTTTTTTTCGGCCGAAGGTGGACTTCCAAGCGCGGGGCTTCACCTTGAAGCTTGGACTTTATGGGACATGATGCAACAATTTTCAATCGAGAAATCAATGAGTTTGTACGGGCCAACAGAATGAAACCATGGGAAACCCGTGCTGCTTGGACTTTGGATCACAGTTTCTGGCTTCTTCTGGGATGGCGCCCGGGGTGAGTTAATGGCATTCTTGAGTTCTCTCCAAAGACTTGGGACAATCAGGAGTTGGAAACGGGCTGTTTCTGATCCACGTGTTGACCTGCCTCATCCTTTCTTGTCCGACGTTTTGCTTCTCATCCTTTCTCATCCCCGCAGACGAATCCACCACATCCACTGCGGCCATTTTTCGTCGCCTCGCCCGTTCAAGGACCGTGCGCCCTGGGAACGGCCCAGACTTTCAGCTAAAGGCGCGCGGCTTGTTGCAGGAGGTGGTGCCTGAGAAGTGCAAGGCCACCGGGCGGCACCCAGAGAAGTTGAAGGGTGGTGGACGCGGTGGAGAAGGCAGGCAAGGACCTTTAACTAGTGTTGTCCCTTTGGCCACATTCTCTTAAATGATCATTGTTGCAAGGGTCTAGACTCTAGACTAGACCAAAGTTTGTGCGGAAACCTGCCAAGCTTACCTGCTTTTGCGAGCAATTTCAGTGGGGGTAGGAGGTAGGACCAGTATGATTTCTTGAGATTTGAACTTAACGCCCAACTGCTCCATTTGGTGTCGTCCCCCCACCACACTCCCTATGCCAGGTGCGCCTTAGTACTGGCAAGCGCATCACTTTGTCTCTGGCCAAGAAGGCAGGGAGCCTGAACCGGTTTTAATTCACACCCAACTTTATGGGAGATGCAATCCATAAGCCAGTCAAAGATTACAGTACATATCCACGAGACTCCCAAGTAAGTGAATGCGCAGATGGTACCCGTCGCAGCTGTATTGGGACGGAATTCTTAAAGCTTGGGCCACATACTTCTTAGCATTAGCCATTCAACCTCGTAGGAGTCAACTCCATTGAACAAGGGCTTGACTCCCCTGAAGTCAACATCCGGTCGTCCTTATGACAATTATCGCAATCAGTCGCTGTGCTGTGAGGATCCGCTTGTCACTTGGAGCGCCCTCTCCAACCGAAACTGGTGATTCATGTGCGGGAAAAGTCCGCACCAGAACGAGGGACTCAGTGGTGGATAACTTGGAACGGGTCACGACAGGTTAGAGTCAAAAAAGAAACACCAATCAATTGTCAATTACATCACTTCGTTTGTTTCCAAGAACTCATGGGACTGTAGCTTGTTGGACCGTCTGAGGAAATGCTGCTTGCATGGAATTAGCTCTCCCTCTCTCTTTCTCTCTATATCTGCATATATTGTACAATATTGTACTGTATATATATATATATCTACGTACGTGTGTATACTCCTTTGGTGTATTTTGTCTGAAGAACATGCCTGATATCTGTACTGTTATGCAACAATAAACTGGCGCTACTGAGACAGTCAATCCATGTTGGACACGCATCCTCATGGGTTCGGGCCAATGCAGACCCTAGCTGAGGGTGGCCATCCATTCGTCACAGCAGTCGAAGCCGGCAGATCAGTCGGAACCCCGAACAGCCAGCAAGCACGCTCTGGTTGGCACTTTTGAACAATGGGTTGTTTCGGGAATTTGCTGAATCATCCAATGTCATGCCTTGAAGTTCTAGCCAGGATTCTAATAAGTCTTACCCTGCCCAAGCAGGACATTGGCTTTTCTTACCAATCTCTGTCATCTCCTCAGGCAGGATTCTTTTCGTCAGAACCAAGTGTACGGAGGAGTCTTGAAGGACCTGTCGTTCAAGGAAAGCCAAAGATGCAGGGGACAGATCTGGCATCTGCTGGATTTTCAGTAAGTGAAACTTGGAGTTCATAAAACCTCGCCTGATGAGACGCACAGAAGCCTGAGCTAGGTCCAAGAACCACACCATGGTTTTCCTGTTCTGAGGCCCTCAGCCATCTCCAAAGTAATGTCGCTTCTGTGTGGTGGCTGAGCAACGGATGGTTGAAGAATTGGCAGCAGAACCTGTGCGCTTGGTGGTTCGGCTTAGAATTGTAGGTTGTGGCTGAGGAGAAGCCATGCATATTTTATATTTTACACCCGTGTCCTAGTCGATCCAAGTGGACACAGAATCTTCTGCACCGTTGAAAAATGCTCTATCGTCCTGGATGGAGATTAGGTGGCGCAATAGACTATTGTGCTTGAACCTCCAGAGTGGCATGCATAACCCATGACATGGCCAATTATTTTGTGAGGTCACGTTTCGAAGAGCTCAAGATCACCTGGAGCAACTTCTACACTCAGGCCAGTTGATTTGGTAGCAGCCAAGAGAGGATAGTCAGATAGTCAGGATTTGATGGTGAAAGTCTCTCTATGAACATTTTCAGGTAGTTTGTCTGGTGGACGGAGAATCCAAAAGATATCCGGAACAAAGGGGGCTGTTTAGCCAGGAAGTTTGGACGCACGAGTTATCCGTTTTTGGGGACGAGATCTTCGGCCGACGTGCCAGCATGGACCATTGTGCTGTGATCATCGACAGACCGAGCAGCAGCACTTCTTTTGAGCAGATACGCATGGTTTTGTCATATGGCTGTTGCAGGCGGAGATTTGGGAGCCTTTGCTGGCCCAGCGGCCATTGCTTATGGATCCCGTGATCTCATGCGCCAACCTGGCAGATCCAAAGGTGGGAAAACAGCCAGAGCACGGGTGCCGGACAATAGAATACTGTAGATAAGTCACTCAACATTTTAGTCAGAGTATATTCAGAGCAATAACACAACTGTATCCAGGCCTTTGAAGCGCCTTTCCTGCAGAACTGTCTTGGCTTGTGCTGTTCGCTGCAAGGCATTCAATCCCCAGGAGCTGATGATGCATGCCAGGCGCTTCAGCCGCTTTTGAAGTAGTTAGCCGGTAACAAGTGATATCTATATGGGTTGGCTCACAGGTTGCTTTTGCTTGTTTTGCTTTGTGTATGTTCATCAAGATTTACTTGTGAATTGTATCTTCAAGCAGATACTCTATCCACAGTATGGTGTTTAAAATATATTATGCATAATCATATTATGCTCATTCTTGGAGGTCAAGTCACTATGCATGCTGCCCCCGAATCGGATCTGCATCCAGGGTGTTTGGCAAGCGAGGAGGGTCTGCTTCGGTTTGAGCAAGTTGCAGCAAGGTCTAGAACATGGGAATATGGACTGCAAGACCCGTTTGGGTAGTTGGCTACAAACCCAGACCTGCACAATCCAGCTAAGTGCATGACTACAACCAAAATCTACGTTCCCCAGGTTTTTCATTTTTGATCCATAGCCGAGGCAAACTGAATAGTAGCCTGGAGACAATGTCTGTAAAGGTAAAGTTTACTAAGGGTTGAATAAGATTTCGCCAAGGGTCCTTTCAGTCACCAAATCTTTTTCGGTCCCGTTTGCCTCCATGCAGATCTTTCCGCTGCCTCTGACTTGTGAGTGTGCTTGGCCCAGCCAGCCACGAGGAGCGGAGGCTTCAGTGATTTCTAGCTTAGGAGGTCATGCAGCGAAGAACAGCTTTACCTGAGCCCATCCTACTTACACAGTCAGTTCCCTCAACAAAGGGTCCAAGTGCAAGTCCGTGATGAGATTGTGGCACGTCTTGCGATGCAGAAAATGCAAAAAGAGATCTGTCCTGAGAGCTGAGTCTCATTCGTTGGCTTTTCAAAATGAGCAAGCAAATGTTCATGTAGCACAGATCTCTGCGCTCCGAACAAGACAACAAGACTCGTGACCCACAAGTAGATCCTTGGTCACTTTCTTGCCAAGATGAATGAAGTACCTGGCTTGTGAAGAAATGTATGTTCCAAGATTTGCATGTGGGGACAACATGGAGGTATGTAACACCACAAGACCTGTAGCTCTTTGGAAAGACCAGGACCTTCCGAAAGCTTTGTTGGCTGTGAGGAGATATGAGGCAGACTTGTTACAATATTACTGTATATGATGTCTCCAGATTGCAGTACCAGACTCCCAGACTGACTTCAGCATGCACGCACCAATACTATACATGGAAGTCCGAGAAACACATTGTCCAAGAATCGAATGAAGCTTAGGGATCGGATAGGGGACATGTAGTGGAAGCCTTCCTTTCATTGAGGGAAAGCAGATAGAGGACCTGTCAAATTCCAGCTGGCAAATATCCAGTTGTAGGAACACAGAATGGGCAGGTTCTAAGTCATAGTGGATTTCATGCGATTTCTTGATTGGCCATGACCGAAAAGAAGAAGGCTGCGAAGGAGGCGAAGACCTGCGCTCAGCTAGAATGGCCTCGACGGCTAGGCAACCTAGTTGTAAACACGATGAGCGTGTCGGTGGTTGTGTATGAGGCAACACACGAGTCACCCGACAAGGTTTGGCTGAGCTGAAACGCACGCGATGATTGATCTGAAATGTGTTGTCATCATATCATATCCAACTTAATGGCCTAACATGGTGAAACCAGACCGTATCATATCGTTGTAGTTGGAGGGGTTTTAGACGACCAGTGGTTGGACCTTTTTTGAGGGGAAACCAGCTTTCCCCATACCAAGATCAGTCGAATGGCAAGATAAATTAGTACGGTAAAAATCATCCAATGGTGACTTGAAGTATTGATCTGGCAAATCGGCGGGAAGACACAGTTCCGGACACCTCCACACCCTTCTTCATTGCTGGTGCGAGGCGGCCTTGCAGGGTGCCCGCACGGCAGAAGCCCGCATCGCAGAGGATATCCCGCTTTGCTGTGAGCATGCCAATGGAAGCTATGGAGCCAGCTGGGGTTCGGTTTCTGGACTCCACCAGGTTGATCCCGGAGAGCTTTTTGGAGGTTCATTTCGGGACCCTGATGACATGAGCTGGAGGACTGGAGTAAATCAAAGGTTCATTTATGCAGGAAAAACTCATGACTTCGTGAGTTCGAGAGGATCAGGTTCTATCCGGAGCAGGAGATACACTTTTCAGATCAAACTATCGGAAGGAACCTGTGTTGCATCGCTCGTGGGGGTGACTGACATGCCTTATCATTTGAGGGCTGGATCCAAAGTATATACTGGATCTCTATCTACATATACATCACGAAAGCCAGCCGATAAGCAAGGCTTGAGGTTGCTGGAGCGAACGAACTGAGTAAAGGGGGTGTTGGGGGGGTGGTCGCGAGGTGGCCAATTTTGGAGAGGTGAACCCAGAGCCTGGTGGGGGAGAGCGAAAAAAAGAGGTCACTTGGTAGTGAAAAACGAGTGGTTTGAGGGGTGTTGTGATGCCGGTGATGTAGTTGATGGCGAAGAGTGCATCATCAGCATCACGAGGGGCTCAGGAGGCCATGTAAACTCTTTTTACTAGGAGTGGGAGTTCATGTCAATGATAGAAAAGAGGGGACAACGGGACGCGAAAAGTGGTTGGAACTCCGCTAGACAAGGGAGATGTGCGCATCTCATGGCCAGTGAAATAGTGTTCGACCAGGGGTGAAAGGGAGGTGTGAGTGATCTGTGAGAAGCCAGAATGCTGTGGGGAAGGTGGAAGACAGGCATAGCGTAGGAGGATGTGGTAGGAAAAGAGGGGTTGCAAGAAATGTTGGAGTTGCTTGGGGTGCCCTTTTTTAATGGTGAAGACGCCGGTCAACTATACGCAAAAGGGCACCCCATATGGGCGCGAGTTCCTGTAGTGCTGTGGTCCGTTGAGGGCAGGAAAGAGAACACAATGCAGCGGGCAAGCTTTGAATTGCTTGGGGGTGCTCTTTTTTAACGGCGAAGATGCCCCTCAGAGGTTTGCAGTTTGGGGCCATTTGAGGTGGCCAGCTGTTGCTGGAAACCATAGCACTTGCTCCAAACTACATTAAAGGCTTAAATAAGAACAAAGAGACATCTAATCACGATAGCCAGCCGTCAACTCACTTGAAACATAGACCAACACACCATACCAAACCTTCCCCGGACTACAGGGGTGCCCTTTTTCCACTCCACAACGCCCCGACATCAAGACGAAAAAGGGCACCCCGTCCCAAACCTATGTATTCTACTGTCCGTTGACATTCTTTCTCAAATGCAGCCATATCCACTTCACCTTCACCACTTCCAGCTCCTCTTTGTCCACTCTACCTATATACGTATATGTATGCTCTCGCCCATTGGCCCCCCGCAACCATCTTTGCTCACTGATTGGCAACACGCAGCAGGCAAACTCACATACTGTAAACGATTTGGTGCCCTTTTTTCCACCTCCAAAACACTCCTGAACCAGGACGAAGAGGGCACCCCCCTTTTAATCCTACCTTTTTCTGTTTCTACCTCCTGTCGGGTACCTGGAGTACTCTTTACGCAATGTGAGCCTACCACTTCATCTCGCACGCTCAAGTCACCACTTCCGGTTACTCTTTGTCCACTCTACCGACCTATATACATATATGTATCCTCACCTAGCCTGCCCATAGCTTCGCACATGGCCTCCCACGGCCGTGTTTGCTCACTGATTCGCAACATGCCGCAGGCAAGCGGGTGCCCTTTTTCACCTCCAAAACGCCTTGAACTAGGACGGAAAAGGGCACACCCCCCCCAAACCTATGTATTCTACTTTCTGTTTCTACCCCCTATAAGTGTGGCTGCGATGTCAACTTCACCCCATGAAAGTACTCTTTGCCCGATGTTGACCAATCACTTCATCTTGCACGCCAAGTCTCTGGCCAGGCTTGCCCTGAGGGCACCCCCTAACTCAGAGGCTGGCTTTCGTCCCCTCCCTTCTCAGGTATATATATATATATATATGACGACTTATGTCAGTGTTTGACATTCCCTCCACCAAGGCCTTGATGAGCGGAAAAGACAATTGTTGAATGGAGTCCTTCAGGGACTTAAACAACTCAAGAAACCTGTTGAAGGCTAGCATGTTGGGTGTGTCTCACGACACGCGGCGGGAAGCCGAGCGCCTCTAGCCATAGGAGGCCAAGAAGAAGTTCACTCGGATTGATGCTTTTGAAGGAATCTACGAGTTGGGCTTCCTAGCCAACGCAGGGTGTAGGGAGAAATTCATGAAACACATTCCATTTCTGGTTCCGTTCGGCTCTGAGAAGAGAGACTTTGCCTCGTCCTTGCGAAGGTTGGACATGTGACCCAGTTGTTTTCATGCTCGGCGCGTCGGAACCCGCTGCTGAACTTCAGTTGCTTTCCACTTTCCATCGAAACCATTATTGGAAGGAGAGTAGGGTTTTTCTTCTACACCGGTCCCCGAGAACATGAACCCAACAGCCAACAACTATCCGTCCCGAACTGTTTGCCCTTTTGCCACAGTGCTCAAGCGGCCAAGCTTCACGTTCGTGAGAGTCACAGTTTCGGTGCACCATGGGTCAAAGCAGGAGCAGCCAGGTGCTGAATGTCCTTTTTGTGGGTGGAGCCATCCTCATTGCGGTGTACTCCTGGGCCATCTACGGACTCCTCACCGAATGGTTGATCCCTCTGGGCAGTGCGGTGCATCCTGACATGCAGCAAGCATTTAACAAGGAGATTGAGAGATGAGGGCCAAGCTTTAATTTGAAAAACAATCTCAGGAACAAATCTCTAGCCTGTTCCTTTTGGTGCGTGAGGATGCGGAGAAGAAATTGAGCACAGCTGCGTTTTTGTTCCCTGATTCGACAAACTGAACATCCACATTTTGCAGGAGAAGGCCGCGATCTACATCCATGCCATGGCATCGGCCACCGCCCTGGCTATTGGTCCCTTCCAGGTGGGGAATCATAGGTGTAGACGTGCGAGTCTCGGGACAATCCCTCGGGTAGACATGCGTTGACCCAATCGTTGCAACTATTCAAAGAAGCCTGTAAATGAGTTCCTCACACCATGTCAGGGGTCAATTTGAACTCTTTGGGTGGGGTAGCGTTCAGTCGGAGAATGGCGTCTGAGGTGATCCCTTCTTGGCGGCACAAGCACATGTTGGGCCACCGACGGGCTGGTCGCGTTTATTTCGTGTGCTGCTTTGCCGGCTCCATCTCAGGCATGACTCTGTCGCTCAGTGCTCAAGGCGGCATGGTGGGCAAGGTGAGGCCAAACATCAAAAAGCTTCACATTATTAGTGAGAGGTTGCTTAGAGTTACTTCAAGTTGCCACAACATTTTCAACGTTGGTTGATTCACTCTAGGGCTGTCTATCCATGAAAATTGTTGGACTAGGTTGGCTTCTTCTCCCTGGGTGTGGTCTGGCTGCTCAGCAACTTGGTCGGCTTCGTAGCCATCGTCTTCCCAAAGATTCGTACCATCTGGTTGCATGAGGCGGCTATGCAGGTGGCTGGGATGGATTTGGTTTGAGTCTGTTTAGAGCTACACACCAGCAACTCCTAGTTGGGGTTTCCTGTTTGGCACACATTTGTTGGAACAACCTGGAGGTTTCTTTCTTTCTTTCGTTCTTTCTTTCTTTGGTCACCAACAGCGAAGTTTAGAGGTCTTCAGCCAGCAGGTTCCAGTTTCTGGGTCCTGCGAAGTCACTGTGAAGGAGGCAGGTTCGGAGAAAGTTCTGGAGCAGTTAGGTTCTGGAGAAGGTTACAGAGCAGGTTCCTGGCCAGGTTCCAGAGCAAGTTTGGAGCAGGTTCCTGTTGGGAGAAGGCTTCGCGGTTTCGGAGCACTTGCAGATTCGCTGGCACACTGTTATGCCGTCGTCATGGCGCAATACCAGCGTGTCATCATGCTGACATGTTATGCCAAATGCTATTTAGCATAATTGCCTATGGGGCTGTCATATGGAGATTCTAACATGTTGTCATTCTGTTGTGCTGACTTGCACAGATGATGTCGTGCTGACGCGTGCGCTTTCTGGTGGCATGGTAACATGTTGTTTGCTGACATGCAGCATGCTATCACTCTGATATGGTAACAGGATGTCATATTTGTGTGTTGTGTACAATGCCGTCATACGGACGCATAGACATGCTAATGGTGTCATATGCTAGCATGGTGTCACGCCGACATGTTGTCAGGCTGCCATCCTGATGCTGCAATGCTGACCTGGGTCACGCCAACATGCTGGTACGATGTCACGCTGAGACGCTGAAATCAGGTCATGCTGTCGTGCTGACGGGCCGGGGTCCGGTACAGGTTCCCTGGTTCTTGCTCGAAGCGGTGTTGGCGTCCTTCCACATCACATATGTACTATGCCGACATAGTGTCGTTGTGATGCTCGCGTGACATTGACATATTGAAAAGGTTCACATGTTTGAAAACAAAGTTGTCTGGCAAGGCAAGCCTGTTGTTGGTCAGCCTGCGACGGCTCCATTGTTTAATGGGCAGATTCCTCTCTCTCTCTCTCCACTTGCATGGTTGGATCCACCTAGGTGAGTTGCGCTTTGACCTACTCAGCCGTCTCGTTGCGCATTATGCTGCCGGTTGCTGTTCTCAACACCGAGCACTTTCAGCCCTTGTATGGTGCCATTGCCTGGCTATGCTGGACAGTCAACCTTGTGATTCTGGGCATAATTTGGCTTTGCCAAAAAGAGGGGTCAAAGACAACTGAGCCTGCGGCAGCTGAGCAGCTTCCAGCGAAGGACGTGATGTAAACTGCAAACCTGTTGATGTAGAGAAGCACCACATTTTCGTATTATGTGGTCCAGCGTGCCATGGGGAATTCGAAGAATTAAGAACCCTGGCACACACCACAAAACTACGAACCTCCAACTGGGACGAAGGTCCTTTGCAGAGTTTGGACACCTTGCAGACGAGCCACAGGACTTTTGTCCACAGGGCTGTGTGTGGTTGCTCGCCACAGCTGCGCCATGCTGAAGGCTTCGCCTCCTGAGGGGTTGATGCTGGAGTGTGCTCCGCAACAGACCACCTGCAGAGAGATGTGATCAATTTGCAAAACGATAGAGAGACAGATACATTGGGAATTCCCAATCATACACAACATGCGTAGTTCGGCTTCAGCATGGAGATTTTGACAGAGCTTGTCCACAAGTGCCCCTCCTCGCAAGGATGTGGAGGACGAGAGAACAAAGATTCAAGCGGCGTTTTGCATTACTCTTTCCCTGCGCCACCTGTTTTTCCAATGAACTCAACCGGCTCAAAACTACAGATTATTCGCACACAGGATAATTACTGTTTTCAAGTCAGCGACTGGTGGTTGAACTGGTTTGGTATGATTACTCCGTACCGGGTAGGCATTGCCACTGCGTAACTTAGTTGCTTCTGCTGCCAAGCAACCAGACTTTATATATATATATACACCGGTTTCACATCCAGGGTCCTTATCAGTCTTCACTTTTCACAGCAAGCCAGATGGATCCACCCCAAACCACCTCTCGCCGCACCTCACTGTTGCGGCCAGAAGTCGGAGCAAACCTATCGACCTCCCGTTTGGCCTGGCCGGTTTGAGGTGTTTCGCGCTGGACATTGCCTGCCAAGTGCTCTACAATGGGGTCATGCACTACTCCGCCAAGCATGCCCTATTGGCGGCCCAATATCCGGATGCGACGGATCACCTCCAGGCAGAGGAACTCGCTACTGTAGTTTTACCTTTTGGCTTGGCCCGATTTCCAGAGCCTATTTGGCCCCCCAAGGACCGTCACAGAATGAGATCTTTGCTTGAGAGCTGGTCACCAGGTTAGATGAAATGCGTGTCAAAAAAATCAATCGCGGAATCGTGGAAGGAGAACTGTCAGTGACAATGTGCCCTTGAAGCTTCTGAGAAGTGGTTTTTTGAGAGGCAAATTGTATGCCCTGCTGGCAGGCCCCTGGGAGCGCAGAGGTGTCAGCTGCCCTGAAGCTTGTGGAAGGAACCTTGGTAGACTGGCCTTGGCATGTGCGTTCTTTCAACGATGTTCAAACGAGATAATAGGCTGCCAAGCCATGTGATCTAGAGCCTCCAATCTTTGATCCGGCCCTTCTATGCCCTTTTGACCTCCACGCTTCAACCTGCGTTTCACCCAAGTTAGCTGCTGGGTTCTCGGCATCTACTTTGGATGAGTCAGACAGGGTCCCACAGTGCCTTTTTGACTCTCTTGACCAAACATTCCTGCACCTTCGACCCAAGCCTGACTTTCCGTCCTTGTCAGTTTTAGGACTCACTTGACTAATCCAACCACATTCCAACCACACTTCATGTCATAGGTGCTGGACATTTATGTATTTCTACTCCGCAGAAAGCTGGGGCAGCAGCTCCCCTTGAGACCATCCCGGACCATCGTCCCTTCCAATCCTCCCTTCGATCCAAGGAGAAGCGGAAGCAAAGACTTGGCCTCAGATTCGCCTCAAGGCAGGCGAAATCGCTGCAAATCCACCGTGGCGAAACCTCCGGAAACCTCACGTAGCACCGCAAAAGCCTCTCAAGATGAGCTAAGGAATGGCCTTGTCACGCGGAACTTGAGCGTATATAAGCACAAACCTGGGAATCTGAATTCCTAAGCGAGTTGTGAGGTATGCATGTTGCGCAATTGGGGGTCATGTTGGGGGTATGGTTGTCATGTTTGCTTAATGCATCATATGATATGCGGCAATTGAGATGTGCGTAAGGTCTTCTGGGACCCTCCATTGTCGTAAGTAGAGCATGAGGGGAGTGTAAGAAAGCTCTACGACGACACATACTCTGCAGAGTTCAGTTGAATCCAATTTTTTTGTAGAGGCATGTAGAGGCTGAGATCTTAGCAGTCAAATAAGCTGGACCAAATGATGGACTCCCTTTCACAGGCATGGTGATGAACGGTCATTCTCCTGCACTACCGCCCCCAAACTATCCGGAGAATGTCGGGAGCTTCGCAGTACCAGGCCATGGAAAAGATCCTACGGGACAAGTTCCAGAGATGTAAGGAGAGGAAGATGCAGGGATCCGGTAAGGGACTGAAGGGAGAAAGAACAGAAGCTCGATGGACATGGATGGCTCGAGTACTGGACAGCACTTCAGCGGTGGATGTGTTTGTTCTTTCGTAAAGGCCCATGGTACCCACTTCTTGTTCATTGGGGAGCTATTGTTTGCTCATGGTAGGACGCGTGATTCATGACACTAGTCAACACAAGCTGATTGTGGTTTTTGTGTTCCGATTTCAAAAGGAACGTACTGCCACAAATTAAATTGAAGTGTGAATTGAGGCAGATTTGGTGCTGTCCGAGGAGTTAGAACTTTCAATGAGTCACTGCTTAAGATCGGTGGTGGCAGACTTTGGAATGTGCAAGTCATTTAATGACCTCTGCATGCCCTATGAGATTCTATTGGATTCCTCTCTCCTTCAGCTTTGGCGAGCCAGGAGTACCGGAAGAAGCTAAAAGACACAGGGGATCGAGATTTGGTGTGCCCTGACACATGATTAGTATTATGAGACTTGGGTCATCAAGTATGGTGCTTAGTGACATGCAATCATTTCAATTTCAGCTGACATGCATGAGGCCTAATAGCGTCTTTGCTCCTAGTAGCGATGCCCTTTGTTCCTAGTACCGTCCTTGCTCCTAGTAGTAAGGCCACGAGCCCCTCGTAGCGTCCGAATGCTCCTAATATCAGTACTGTGCAACAACATCTCTTAGCCACTTCGGAGACCTGAGGTGGGAGAATGAAGAGGACACCTTCTGGGGAGCGACCAAGGGCCGTGGACAGAATCATCTTGGCCGCTGCTCGGCATGAAAGTATATGAAGGTTCACCGTGGGTACGAGTCTTCTGACATTGGACTTCTGTGATGCCATTCCCTCTGTCAGTTGAAGCGTGTGAGAACCCAGTGGATCTACCACGTACCTGAAGAGTGGTTATGAGTCAGAACAGTCATAGCCTTCTTCCAGCATAGGTTCTTGCAGTCTTCTCCGTTGAGCCCTCCTGGCCAAGGAATCCTTATGGATGTGCGGAAGAGCATCCATGACGCTCGACGAGACTTGCGGTGGGGACAGTTTTAGCTGGTTCCAATACAGCGTCCCTGGAGTAGAATCTGTACTGAGTTGGCATCTTTCCAACAATACGGACATGGAAGACTCCCTTTCGTGGCCCTATCTGTGGGTAAGGTCGCAACTAGAAGTGGAATGCATGCATGACCTCCATGCCATGGGTCTTGTGTTTAATCCGAAGAAGACATCAGCGATCGATCTGCCAACTGTCACTTGCAGGAGACAAGTGGGTACAGTTACAACCTTGTCACTAAGTTTAACCTCCATGATTCTTTTCTTTCCATCGTCTCCTTTCATGTCGTCCCCCCCTGAGGTGGGCTGGTTGACACATCAGGAAAGTCCAGGGGGTTTTCGCCACCGGAGGTCGACTCTCGACTCTTGTCCCTGGTGGCCCTAGTGACCCTAGTGACTCCCCAGTGTCCTGGTTCGCAATATTCTCCAGTCTTGCTCCACGAATATACTCTGGAATGAGACGGTGCTCAAGAGCATTTCTTCCTTTGTTTTCGCGTTTGCATCAGGAGGAGACGGACTTTCATTCGTGGCTTTTCCTTTGCTGCGAGTTGGAAAGCGATTCGGTCCGGTGGCCTCCAGTTGAGCTGGTGGAGAGCAAGGCCAGTTCTGAGACATCCTTATTGAAAGAGCCTAGTCAGTACTTTCAATTCTTGTGAATTGACCTCTCCGTGTAGCCTGCTTTTATAGGCCCTAAGCACCAACTCTTCCAGTCTTCAAGAGAGGAAACTGTCGCCTTCCTAGAGTTGGGCAATCTTAAGATTGCAAGCCCGTGGGGGCTTCCGAAGTTGCTTTCTCTTTTCCATGAAGACATGGACGGCTTCGAGCCAATTGGCCAGCGAAAGCTCCCAAACCAGCGCAGGATGATGGCTCTGGGGATACGCAGGCCAGCCTGGGGCCGAACTGTGGTATATGACGGTATATGCACTGTAGCTTGCGTAAGGAAAATGCGAAGTCAGGAATGGCGGTGTACTCAATGTAGGCGAAATCCTCGACCAATGGTCACAATGTGAGGGCTGTAAACTGGACCATGTGTTCCTGAACTACAGACTCTGATTGTGCACAGAAAGATGGCAATCACAAGTCACAGGTAGGCTCCCTCACCAACCGGACAATTTGAGATAGAGGTTGTGAGATTGCCCACAGCATCATGGGATTGGTCCAAGCTGCTCGGACTTTGTATATGACTCCAGAGAATGGCAACATGAGTCTTGAGCGTATCATATCCAAAAGTAGACATGACCCCAACTCTACGATTCTGAGAGGCTACACAATGACATGCCTCCTTTGCGCAGGTGCATCGCCTTACTGGCAAGGACTGGATGGTCATGCTTGCATCATGGTGATTTAGTGATCCGTGCAACAATGCTTACTGCCCTGGTTGCCTGTCCTTGTTCCTTCTTTGGAACTTTTCTTTGTCTCGCGCTACCACACGCTCCCTGTTTAAGCCTGCAGCACCAGAAGCAGGGTTGTGCTTGGAATAGAGATGTTGAAGAGCAACTTAGCACTTGGACCTGGTGGCTGTTGCAAGTGTTTACCGAAAAATGATTCCAATCATTGTTGCGGATATACACATCAAAGGTATTTGATTTTGTGTGGAGTATGTACAGAGGTTTGACCCAATCCCATTGGAAGGTCTCCCTTCTCAAGATTAAGCACCCTTAGCTTTTTGCGAGTCGGGGTTGACATAAGCAGCCACAAGCTTTGTACTTTTCCAGTGAAATATTCTGCTCATGTGTGATGGTTACATGGTGAGTACAAGGCATTTGACGGCATCCTCTAATATCTCCGCCCACCGGAGGAGTACTACAAGCTTGGAAAGTTGCCTTCCAACTCTGTGGCCGCGCTTCATCCCTCCATCTCCCGTGAGCATGCGCTGATCCTCCACAGCAAGCTGGAGGCGACCGATTGGGCGGATTCGTGGAGAATTGGATGCCAGTTAAGCCGAAAATCTTGTTCAATCTAAGCAGTGAGGTAGATGGTGTTCTTCATGTTGATGGCTGCGGCCTTTCGGCACGCTGGGTGTAGAATTCAGCAACACTTGAAGACAACGCGACTCGAATGTGGGGGCTGCTAACTCCGAGGCTTGCAAGAAAGTCAGCCATACTAGATACGGAAACGAGCCAACCTGAATCTGGAAGTGGAATCAGCAAATTCCGGATCCTGGGCGTGTCACAGGGTCGTGTATCCAGTTATATATGTATGTATATGTATATGTGTATGTATATGTGTATGTATATGTATATATATGCAGTCGGAAGGAACGGACGCCGGAGTGTGTCACACCCTCGCAGTGAGGGCTCAAAGAAGTGGTCTGGGCCAAGGATCTGCAATGTCGGATCCGGGTGCATGGCTGAAGAGGTTACAAGACCTCGGGTGGCAGCGCAGCACCCTAGCTTTCTTCGACGCCATGCCGCGCGCCGAGGTCCTCGAGATGTTGCCCGGAGTGGCCGAGGACTGGACAGAGGAGCAGCACGACTGGCTCCTCAGAGAGGCGAAACGACAAAGGGTGAAGCTGGATGTCGAGGATCACACGTTCCTCCAGCATCAGAGATTGCTGTTCCGTGATCAATCCTACATCGACCGCATGATCGAGGGCACCCCCTATGGCGAGGCGCAGGCCGGGCTTTCTTTGGCCAGAGTAAGGAAGTCTCTTCCTCGAGTTTCCTGGAAGACTCGGGCCGACAAGATGTTGGGTCACGGGCCTAGTGAAGAGCTCGGGCAACAGGTTGAAGAAAGAGAGCGTGAGCGATGGATCCAGAAGCTGGTGATGCTCCTTGAGGTGACAGGCCTGGTGAACGCTGAGGAGAAGAAACCTGAGAGGTACAAGTACTTCGCCCCGTACGTCTTTGCGACACAAGGCGTCCTTGCCGTCCGCTGCGTATCGTTTGATTGACGTGGGAGGCTTTGACCAGTCGCAGGCGTCTCCCAAGGACGTCTCCGATCTCGTCGCCGCCTTCTACGGCGTGAAACCGCTCGTGCAACTCATCGACGCTGCGCATGAAAGCTGTTCCAGCCACTCGCTGGACGAAGTCATTGACTTGTTGCATCGCAAAATTGACGAACTGTGTGTGGAATTGGCAGACTGGAAGGGGCGCTTGCAAGACGCACACACGCAAGGCATTCAAAGCTGGCTCTTTGACGACAAGTCGCAGTTCGGAAGGTTCCATGTTGCAGCTTAGTGCGACGTGGGTGAGTCAGTCCTGAGCGAGTGGCTGGAACAGCTTCTCATGCGCAGCGTCGATGAGTTGCACCCGCCGCGGAGAGGTCACCGGCTCGACAGAATGCTCTTCCAGAAGCTGTCAATGTGGTGCGGTGTGGGGAGTCTGGACCGCTTCTGGGAAGCGCGAAGCGGAGACTGATCAGAGTGCGAGTGCTGCGTGAGAGTGGCGATTCCGTCACCGTGGTGCGCTTTGTGCGGCGCCCACTGGACGCCATACGGAACTACTCGCATCAGTCCGTCTCCCAGACCAGTTATCCTTAGCCGCCACACTGTGGCAGTGGAAGATCGGTCATTTTGTTTTTCTCCTTGTTTGGAGAAGATTTTGCTAGATTTTGATATGTCGTTATGTGACATATCATCATTTAGTTCATTTCTATTTTCCTTGGGCGCGAGTTCCTGTGAACTCTTATGGCGCTTCCACCTCTCGGTGGAGGGTCAGGACTCGCTGCCTGAGGCAAATAGAAACTGTGACATCAACGCGCAGTGCAGAAAAGAATGTGATTATTCTTTTACAAAAGGCAACAGCTCCCGTTGTCACTGCGCAGAGCGCGTATTGGTCGATGAGAAGGCTATTGTCGACGACGAAACTGCCGTGGATCCATCACTTTGACAATGTCTCTGGTGTCATATTCGTCGTGGCCCTCAATCACTACAACGCGGTGCTCTTCGAAGATGAGTCCCGGAACGCCCCTTCGCACTTTGAGTGGCTTTTGCGTCCGGGCGTCCAGGAGAACGGCTCAGCCGTCCGCGAGCAGCAGCGTGATGGCGTAGCCGAGCCGGTCGTTCACGTCTTTGGGACGCATGGCGAAGAGTGCCAGACCCAGGAGAAACATGCAAAACGTCACGTGCAGCAGAGGCATGCGGAGCAGGGTCCAAGTGCTCCAGGACGCGGCGTAGCTCCCTTCGCAGCATCGCGTCGTCGAACTGCGTTCGGAACACCACACCTCTTGTGAAGTCAATGGCGACAAGGTTGACCTCGACGCGCGCCGCAGCAGCATTCGATAAACCACTCGCCTTTGCGGAACGGCTGCTTGATGACCAGTTCCTTGGTGGCACAGAGGTCAGGTGCGCCGACCAGCTCTTCGCCGCCTACCTGGCCTTTGATCTGACCATCAAATGTCACAAGTGCTCAAGACCGCGCGACGGAAGCGGGCAGGAGAGAGGCGCTGTGCTTCGGACTCACCGCGCGACCATCGCGAGCGCCTGCTTCTTCGCGGCCGCCACGTCGCTCCTCGATGTCTTGTGCCTGCAGCTCTTGCAGCTCGAGGCGGAGCGCGCGGCGCCACGAGAGCGCCAGCTCGTTGTGGATCTTGAAGTGGTCGTAGTACTGCGGCGTGGACCGCCAAAACAACTTTCAGTCGTTGAAAAGATGGCTGCTGAAGTCAAAGGAAGAGTTCTTGAGACCTCTGAGCAACGCCGCACGCGTCTGGCGGTCGCTCTTTGGTGCCGTGAGCACTGCGCTCTCGGTGTTCCGGCGGATGTGCAGCGCATGGTCGCCTGGTGGAGTCCGTTCCTGGCAACAAAGGCTCGGCGCACTCGTAGGTGATTACCAACCAGGGTTGCTCAGGGAGGCATGCGCGATCCCCCTTCTCAGAGGTTGTTGAGAGGTTTACGATAGGAGAGACAAAAGAAAAGGAGGGGATTCGGCACCGATTCGCTGGGAGGAGGATGCGCCCGCCGCGCCCGTGCTGAGGGACAACTACACCTCCACCAAAGAGCGCATGGCCAAGGTGAAGAAGCATGTGGGGGAGGACCTGGAGAAGGGGTGGATGGTCAGGATGACCAGGCAGGAAGCCGTGGAGAGGTTCGGAGAAGACCTCCAAGTGGCGTCCCTGGGCTGAAGGTCAACACCGACGTGGAGCAGCCCAACCAGTTGGCCTTTCCCCAGTTTGACGATCTGGAGGCGATGGTGAGGGAGTTCAAGGAGCATGCGGGGCCGGCACGGCTCATGATGGCCTTCGACATCAAGGCCGCCCACCGCCTGGTCCCCATTCACCCGCAGGATTGGGGCTTGCAGGCCTGCAGGCTTGAGGAGGAGGAAGAAATCTACCTTAACGCCCGAGGAACCTTTGGAGTGGCCTCAGCGGCCTTTTGGTGGGGGAGAGTGGCCGGAGTCGCCTCTAGGGTGTTTCACAGGATTTTGGAGCCGCAGGCGATTTTCTGCCTCCTGCTGTTTGCGGACGACGGACTGATCCTGAGCGGAGGGGGGAACTACCACCGCAACATGATCGGGCTCTTCATGGAAATCCCTTTGTCATGGTCGAAGACGAGGGGGGGTCACAAGGTGGAGTGGATTGGCTACAACGTCGACATCCAGTCGTGGAGGTTGGGAGTGAGCGAGAAGAAGGTGGAGTGGATGAAATCATGGACCCAGCTGGCCTTGTCCAGGGCGGATGCTGGGGCGGGAGTTCAAAGCTGGCTTAGGCAGGATGGGCTTCCTTGCAGGAATCGCCAAAAGAGCCCGGCCATTCTTGGCCCCACTTTATGCTGCGTCTTCCCAAGTACGAGGTGGCAGCTTCTTCGACCTTCACTTGGCGGTCAAGCTGGCTATAAAGTTCTTTGAGGGCACGATTGTTTCAGAGCCGATGAGGGCGCTCTCTGATCCCCCTGCGGTGCTCGGGGAGATCTTCCGGGTGGACGCCATGGCTGATGTCGATGGAGTACCATTGGAGGATGGGAAACCTTTCATGTGGTGGACCCCCGTCAAGCCAGGTGGTTCCACGTCAAGCTGACGAGACAAAACGCTCCCTTTCTCTATGTCAAGGCGGAGCCCTTTCGCACCATCTCGTCGTCGGAGCTGCTGGCGGTCACGGTGGCAATAATGGTCTTTGGCCCGGAGGGCCGATGGAGAAGGGGGTCAGGCCGTATTTCGGTCACTGGCTTCACAGACAACCTGTCCAACGCCTACCTCATCGACCGGTTCTTGACGAAGAAGTTCCCGGCGTCTCTGGTGCTTATGGAGCTGTCTAAGCAGCTAGACGCCTACTCCCTGGACCTAGACCTGTCCTGGATACCTCGTGAACAGAACGAGGAATCGGACGACTTGTCAAAGGGCAGGTACGATAAGTTCGACATGAAGAACAGGCTGGAGGTTGACTTTGAGCACCTGAACTTCCTGGTCCTCAGATCTGAAGCGGGCGAGAGGCTGGTTTCGCACACAACAAGGAAAAGAAGAAGACGGAGAGGGTGGACACATGCAGTCGGAAGGAACGGACGCCGGAGTGTGTCACACCCTCGCAGTGAGGGCTCAAAGAAGTCCCACCCGACCCAACCCTAAGACAGGGACTGGGCGAGAGGCTGGGCGAGAGGCTGAGAGGCTGGTTTCGCACACAACCAGGAAAAGAAGAAGACGGAGAGGGTGGACGCAACTATATGTATAATTACAACCATCCTGGAGTAGTTTATAGAAAATGTTTTTGAACACTCAAAACTTTTTCGTCCAAAAAAGGTTTGAAATTCAATACGGTACTTAGTACTTAGAAAATTCTATTTTTATGTTTTTGAGTTCATCGTTAGCAATGCCATCATCTTCGTTTTCACTTGCGCAGACGAACCTGGGAATTCCGCAACATTTTAGAAACTCAAAAGTACATAGAATATGCTGCCCATGTACAACAATTAATGCATATGGTTTAAAATCGGTTTCCAAAGAAATTTCTTATAGATTCCTTTCTTAAGTTTATTGAAATAGTTTGTCCTGGGACACCTATGCCAACCCCCGCTCAGTTTGTTGACATTTTTTCTTTGCCATGCGTCCCATCAGGAAAGGCTTTCCACCACAACTCACCGTCAATGACTCCGACATACACACTTAGATTGATGCTCGCAAGAGCTGAATCAGTTACGGCAGTCCACTCTAGTGAATACAATACCGGTGCAGAGATTAGACCTTGACTTGAATCAACTGCAAGAATGCTGGGTCGGAGAAAAGAATTGTTGGAACAGACGCATAAAAGTTAGTGCAGGTACGTTTTCACCTCCCTGGCGCGCGGTCTTCGTTGGCCAGGACGCGCGCCAGGAAGTCCTGCCCCCCTGCATTGACGTTCTTTGAGAAATTGAGGTCTGTCTGAATTGTCGTGCATTGTTCGTGTCCTTCGAAACAGAAAGTGACACACGCACACACACTTATGGATATGCATACTGACTTGACAGCGGTGCCACACGCCAGCCTAAGTAAAAGACCGAAGAAACCAGGACAGGTAAAGTATGGGGTTCCAAGCCTCTCAAAGCCTACGTGGCCTCCAACTCCAAATCGACACATCCAAAGCGACAATGCACATCTGCCGATGAAGAACCGATGCAAAGGCTGGACATCTTGTTCTAGTTACAAGCAGGGCCCACGAGGGAATTCGTAAGTAAAACTGCTTGTACGTCTGGCTGATCAGGCCAGATATCCGCATGTACTGTGGCCGCTTCGTTGGACCATCGCTCACAGCACATGGATGGTCCCCCTGCTGAAATAAACGAAGACAATTCAAAAGAATCCCTGTAACTACAAGGGGCACACACACACACGCCTCCCCGAGGGGAGGCGAAATTAAGGCTAGGACGAATGTGCAAATGTGCGCGCAGCAAGGACAAAAGGATGAAGACATGAGAAGGAAGACGAGACGGGGCAAAAGTGTGTGTGGTTGTGATGCAAGAGAAACCAAATGCACAGGGACAACCGATGAAACCTCATTGTCGAAACCTGGGCAACCTGAAACCTGAGTTGGAAGTAGATGTTCGCGTACACACTAAGGCCCGGACCGTTGTACGCGCAAAAAACGAAAGGAGTGAGATGAAAGGACATGAACCAAGAGAAGACATGAAAAGAAAGAGGAAAAGAAGTGTGTGAAGGGGAAAGGATGAAAAGGGAACCAAATGGAGGGGACGGGAACCGATGAGCCCAGACCTCATTGCAACAACCTAGGAAGACCTGCCTCGTTAAGGTGTGTACAGTGTACGATGTGTGTGCGCCTAAGAGTCCGACAGGTTCCAACGAACCTCAAAAGTACTTTGGTCGCTCTGACCACGTTGAAGCGTTAAGCCAGCTTAGACCGCTGCGGTCACGTAAAGGCATGAGCCAACTTGGAATTCAATAATCCGTCAAGTCTTGGCAAATAACTTTGGCGTACGCCTCCTGCTGTCCGCTTCGGACACCTACGTTCCCGGGCAGGGGGAACAATGGACAGACACCCGTTCGACGGGTCCATGGGAGGCACTCTACGGGCTCATCCCGGACTGGCGCGAGGCCAGACACGCTTATGTGTACTGACTTGACAGCGGTGCCACACGCCAGCCTAAGTAAAAGACCGAAGAAACCAGGACAGGTAAAGTATGGGGTTCCAAGCCTCTCAAAGCCTACGTGGCCTCCAACTCCAAATCGACACATCCAAAGCGACAATGCACATCTGCCGATGAAGAACCGATGCAAAGGCTGGACATCTTGTTTAAGTTACAAGCAGGGCCCACGAGGGAATTCGTAAGTAAAACTGCAGGTACGTCTGTCTGATCAGGCCAGATATCCGCATGTACTGTGGCCGCTTCGTTGGACCATCGCTCACAGCACATGGATGGTCCCCCTGCTGAAATAAACGAAGACAATTCAAAAGAATCCCTGTGACTACAAGGGGCACACACACAGACACGGCGGAGTTCTTCGCGGAACGGTGGAAGCCGCTGCGGAAAGCCACTCCGTCCTCAAACTTCGACAGTCCGATTCGCCAGAGGTCGCCTTCGCTGAGGTTTGCCCGCCGCCTGTTTGCTTCCGTTTTCGCGCCGACCTGCTGTGCAGCCAGGTCGCCCTGAAACGGTTGGTGAGCACTTTGGATGGCGCTACCTTGCAAGGTTTGCTTTTGGGTGCTGAACCACAGCAGCATCTATCTCCGACACCTCTGGGACACAGAGTGACGCGCGGACTGTGCAGGTCCAAACGAGATTCGTTTCTCCCCAAGCGCTGCTCTGCAGAAAAGAGCCCGTCGCTAGTCCCGTTCTGTGCGCTCTTTTTCTCTGTTGCTGGACCACCTGGGCTGCGTTGCCCAATTTCTATGGTCGCGTTAGTCGGAGCCTACTCCTAGGCCTCTGACTTTTTTCCCCAGATAGCTGCAGGCTATAGGGGCTTTAACTCCTCAATGGTGTAGCTCTGGATTGGCGTTTTGGTTTTGCGGGTGCTGCTGCCGTGCTGATGCTGGTGCAGGTGCAGGCGCTGGCTCTCGATCGGCGGTTTGGTTTTGTAGGTCGTTTCGTTTTGCGGGCGCTGCTGCCCTGCTGGTGCTGGCTCTGGATCAGCGTTTCGTTTTGCGGATGCTGCTGCCGTGCTGGTGCTGGTGCTGGATCCGCAGCTGATGATTTAATATCACTTCATGTATTTCCTTTGCTAGACCTGATGGCGTATGAAGTAGCCTTCATGCCTTCCATCATTTCGCATGTTTTTGCGACCAGTTCCAGAACACGACAAACAACCAATGTCTGTTGGCTGCTCTGCTGTGCTTTGCCATACCAAGCGGGCTCTGTACAAAAGCTGTGGCAAGTCCGCACCTCGGGTGTCCTTTGCTGAAAGCCCCATGTACAGATGTTTGGTTCACCTGCTCACCCGATCCATGTGGCGCGCATAGTGCTTTGGGCCACAACAGAAAGGGACACTCATCATCAACACTCCGGCGCAAGACTTGGGTCTCGCCTCTGAGAAAAACTGCTGTGGCGCCGGTAGAGACTAGAGGCTCTAACCCTTCTACCGCGCAGCTTTTGCTATGCCTCTGGGACATGCTACCTTTCGTCCACCTCCCCAGGGCAGCGCGCAAAATATTTCAAGGGCTTGTCTCTGCAGGGAGTCCTTGACGGAAAGGCGCTGCCCGTTGCAGAAATGGACAATGTTCTTTTTGGGCAGGGTGCATAGGATATGAACCCTCAACTCGCTTTTGTTTCCTTGTCCAGCCGACTTGAAGCCTTACCGGAAATCAGCCGAGAAACCGTTCCGTTCTAATGCTCAGTCACACGGCTTTTGATGGAACAACCGATGACTATGTCTATATTGTACATGTATATATATATATTTATGTGCGCTTATCCAGGGCACACGGCTCAAAGTTAGACAATCAATTGTCTGAACCGACAGAATTTGCAACTTCGGTTTCCCCCACCATGATCGTGCGGGGCTGGCAGGCATAACCCACGCTCATAACCCATGGTGTTCAAGATGAGCACGTTTTGTTGAGGAAACATTTGGCCTCAGGCAAGTCATGCCTTTGTTTGATTGGTGTGAGCCTTCTTGCAGAATTTGTATCCAATCAATTACCGTCTAAAGTCGAGTTTTACTTGACATGTGACTTTTGGAGGAAGTCTCGTACGAAACGCTCGTTTTGGAGACTTGACGTGTGACTTTTGGAGGAAGTCTAGTACGAAACGCTCGTTTTTGAATTAAAACTTGTGATTTTGTATACTGTTATTTAAATTTCATTTAAGCTGAAAATCAAAAACTCAAACTAAGAACTTGTACTTAGAGTATATATGTTAGGTTTTGCATTTCTTGTTTTCGTTCTCAATGCACTGTCATCTTGGCTTTACTTACGCAGACAAACCCGGGAAGTCCACAACATGATTGAAACGAATCTATATTGTAAATGCACTTACGCGCCCAACTATTCCAAATACTTATGTTTTTGAGCCGTGGTTTTGGAAAAACAACTCTATTGTATCTATGCCAAGATGGTTATGTATACTTACGCATCCACATACTCACTTTATTCGCCCGCTTCAGATGAAGGTCTGAAGGACCTTTGAAGAACATCAAGGGGTGTTGAATCTCCTCGCGGATTGTTTTTCCATTGTAGAGTTCCTTCATCCTGTTTCCTTTTTGCGTTGAGGACAAGAATTGGGATTTGGGGATTCGCATTGTCTAGAGGGCCATTCATTGCGATTGGTTTGGTTCATCGAGCAAGCAAACTGGACATGTTAGGTTTGCGTCGGTGTCCAGTTTGCGTGTGTATTTTAAGCTTCTCAGCGTAGCCAGTGACCAGACAGTAGGAATCATTCAAACATGTCTTCCTGTGGCCCCCTTCATCCCCCTGCTTTTCGCACAGCTTTCAGGTGGCAAGGCCGACCGGAGGCGTGGCCATCATGGACCTGGGATCCAAGTTCGGCACCCACGTCGATGGCAGGACAGGAACACCAAATTCTCTGCAGGACCTGTTTGAGGCCCGGGACTAGTTGTGAAGGTATCAGAACCAGGACTTGCATTTTACGGAGGAATGTATGCGGTTGTCCATTTCAGCTTTGTTCTTCGTGTCACGCTGATGGAATGTGCTTTCAGCCAGGAGACTTACCAATGGTTTTGCGAGGAACTCAGCGGAGGATGTGAAGATTTGGTATCGATCCTCAATCCAGGTGATCCTCAGGCCTGAAGATCTTACCTGACACCAGGAGCTCACTTCCGTGTGCCACGCTGCATATTCACTCCACTTCTGAGCTGTCCTCGAATGAGCTCCTTTTCAGCATGGGTGTTGGCTGAGGTCCTCGAGCCTTTGAAGTCTAGCTGCAAGCTAAAACTGGGCGCCTCCACCCGAAGCTACGAGGCGGTCCCTGAAGTCGGACTATCTGGTGCTCGCAAGTCAGAGCTTGACGATGGAGGTTATGAGAATCCAGGTGTCTTCAGGTCGGACTTGGAAGATAGATTCCCAACCTTGCAATGCAAACCACATCAAAAGAGTATTTTACAGAGTCTGATTGAGAAGAACACAGTGCTCTGAAAACGGACTTAACCAAGCAGGATTTTCCGAGTTCCAAGGTCTAGCAGAGTTGTGGCCATAGTTTCAATCTGCCACCAATGGGGTGGATAGACTCGGATAGACATGACCGTGCGTTCCGTTCCTAGTAGCTTCTTGTTACTAGTAGTAAGGCACTTGTTCCTAGTAGCTTCTTGTTTTTTTCTTTTTGATGAGGTGCGTGTGAACTTGCGCTCCCAGATCGAAGAGCTGGAACGGCAGCAGAGAGAACTCATGCGGGAGGTGCAGAGCATCGACCAGGAGCGCTCTTAGGTTCAACAGCTGGCCAGAGCCGTTTCATAGCACTCACGGCATGATAATGGGGTGACACGAAATGGAGGGTGATTCAGCTTGCTCTTGTGGATTATGCGGCGGGACTTCCAAAAGCATCACGCGAAGTACTTCATCACGTTTGGGCTACAGCCGCATTTGGACACCACCCTGAAAAACCCACCCTCTGCAAAACTTCCAACAGATTGTCAGGGTCCGCGCACTAAGGTCCACGTGAATGATGTGTGAATCCTGCCGTGGTGAGTGCTGAATTGGACTTGGTAGCGTCCGCCGTCGCTCAGAAAGCAGGACGCGGCAGACCCGGTGCAGGCCGCCAAGCGCTTGGCCAAGGAGGAAGCCACCTGTGTCCTGGAGGAAGTGTCCGGTGGAGATCAGTAGATATTTTTGCCTGTCTGCCCACTAATGCCCAGTCCCACCCGTGTGCACTCCAATTTTGCTGGGGTGGGGATAGCTCGAGGTAGAGTTTGAAGGGGTCCTGTCTTCAGAAGGGTGAAACGGGCAAGGCCAGAGCGACACAAGTGCTGACCCATGCCTACCGGCAGGGATTATGATGACATAAATCTTACATCCGGAGAAGGATTCCCCATGTGGCAAAGGCATTCCTTTCTACACTCCGCAGACTCTGCATGTGTTTGCATGCATCGTCTCACTTTAACTCTTTTGAACAGTATATAGGTTGTGTTTTTTTTGCTGAATCCCTCAATCAGACTTCGAGGCTTTGTTGGAGGCTTGGAATATGACACCGAGAAGGCGACAACCAGGGGTTCCTGGCTGGGGTGAATGCCGTGTGGAGCGCTAGAGGTGGTTGGAAATTTGACACTTTCCTCCAATGAACCCTCCTATGAGATCTGTCTCCCCAAGGGCTTTGATGCTTTTGCACGGAAAGGTGGATGAACGCTCTATGAACTCTCCCACCCGTTCAACCAGCATTCGAAAGATCAGTTATGTACCCTTGGGAGGAAATCTTGTTACATTCAGCCTGAGGCAATGTTTGCAAAGAAGCTACTAGGAACAAGTGCATCGCTAGTAGTAACAGGTGCCTTACTAGTAGTAACAAGAAGCTACTAGGAACAAGTGCATCGCTTCCACTCCCACTCCAGTCCTTCGATGACAGGCTGATTTGCTGGGTCTCTTCCAGGACTGCGGTCATGTTGAGGAGGCGAACCGTTGGGCAAATGTGGAGCTTGCTGGTGTAGACGAGTGTCCGGAGCGGCGACTGTACCTGGGAATGCTGTCCTTTAAACGGCTACTGATCTAAAATATCCAAAGACACCCTGTGGCTTTGGAGGATTTGTTTCAATCACAGCTCAGAAATTTCAAGCCCAGGCGCCAGTTTGGGACAGGTCGCAGCCCTTGTCAGGTGCGCTTCCCCGGACAACAAGAGGTTGGTGGCAAGGCAGTGAAGGCGGGTGGGACGAAGAGCTTCAGCTCGCTGTGGTTTTAAGATGAACCTGGAAATAGGACATAGAATTTAATTAGAGTAGGAACAAGTGCATCGCTACTAGTAACAAGTGCCTTACTACTAGGAACAAGAAGCTAGTAGAAACAATAAGTAAATAGAATTTAATTAGAGTAGGAACCTGGAAATAAGGAAAAAACACCGCTGTGTTTGTGATCGAGACCTCACAACTCCACGACCGGAGTTGACTGAGTTCCGCGCACTTCGAACAGCCTTCCTGATTCGAGTTGCTGCGGGCCAAGCCCTTGAGTTTGCAAAGTTGCGATATACTCATGATCGGGAATCCATCAGTGAGCATCAAGAAATCAACGCCTTTGTGCTGAATACTGAATATAGATACAACTCACAGCGTACTACTGGGGATAACATGCAGTGGCCCTTGGACAAGATAGCCCTGCAAAACTGACATATGCTGTCCAGCAACTTGCCAAACTTACCCAACTTTGAGTGTGTCCAGAAGGAAATTCGATGAAGACCCCTCAGTGGTTTGGAAACCACATTACCAAGTCGTTTTTCCTCCAGAAAAAGAGACCAGCATTCATCATGTTGAAGAACACATTGCAGTTGGGAGAAACCAATGGAACCCCATTCCTCGTGACAAGATGGTTGGCATTACCAGTCCGTGTACCGCACGCGGCACTCGGCTGAGGGCATCGCCTTTGTCGTGTTCGACTCTGCGATGGCTGCGCGGCGTGCGTGCGGCTTGTCGGGCGAAATGTTCAAGGCTGACATCAAACATGCTTGCGATGATGATTTATTGATGATGTATTGCGGTGGATTAGCAGTTGGGAATCGGATGGAATTGGTTCCTGTTGCTTTGATTCTCCTGAGTAATGGGCAGTTCTCTCATGGATTTGTTGATGTCTATAGAAAAGACATGAAACGAGATATTTTTTAAATCTCATCATAGTTATATATGCGAGCACCCCCTATCTATCTCGAGCTGTTGGAGTGCGGATCTGGCACCAGGGTCGGAAGCTCAAGGTGGCGCCGGCCACTGACCGTCCCAAGGGAGGAGTGGTGTTGCAAGCTTGGGATGGTGGGTGGATTCGGAGTCTGGCATGGACAGCTGCAGTCCTTTGATCCAAAGTGTGCTGAAATGTGTCGGTCGAAGATCATCATTTCATGCGCTAATCGCCGAAACTCGCTCCAGGAGGAAAAGGCGATGGAAAGGGCAAAGAAGCGAAGGGCGAGGAGGGTGGCCGCGGCCACGATACTGGCAGCCGCCAATTCCTGCGAGATATGCTGGATGGACTCTTGGCTCCTTTTGCTGAGTTTTGAAGCTCGATGCAGCCACTTGGACAGCTTTCTCCTTTTGAGTCTTCCTTGGACTGGGGGTCTTGCAGACTTTTACCAAATCTCGAAGATGGATTCGCTCCTTCCACAACTCCACACAGCACAGAACCTCCGAGGCAAATGGGAGCGTGGCGTCGCCCTCCCGTCCCTCTCCCCAGAGCGCCGCGAGCGCCCGCGCCGTGCCTCACCAGTGCGGCGCTCACCAGGGCGGCCCTCGCCACGGCCCTCGCCACGGCGCTCCCCCCCCAAGGCGGTGCAGGGTGCTTGGGAAGACTTGAAAGATGAGGAATGAAGATTCGAAAAGAGGGAGACTTTAGATAAGAACTAGAAGGAAGACTTCTCAAAGAGACTTCAAGAAGGGAGGCTTCTCAAAAAGGTTTTGATCGGATCATACCTGACTTGATTGCAGGTACATATATACATCCAGAATTGTTTGAGCAACATGGTTTGTTCTGCTGTGCTAACATGTCCATCCTACAAACTGACGTTAAAGGGCGACGTCTCCTGAATGACTGCAATGGCGGAAGCACCAGATGAACTCAGTGCACAGCTTAAAAAATTCAGCTACGAATAATACAATATATCGGAGTCAATTCAATGTGGCGGTTCTTCCGTGTAATTCCCCAAGCAGTCTACTGTAGGGGTTCTCAATGCTTTCTAAGTGTGTCCGCCTTGTGTGGACTGCTGTGTCCGCCTCGCGGTGCCGGCCTCTGCCTTGCAATCCTTTACATGTGTCTCCCAGCTCTGGACTGCCGTGTCCGCCTCTTTGTCTCCCAGCTCTGGACCGCTGTGTCCGCTATGTGGGGGCGATCCAGTGCAGCATTGCTGGCTGGGTCACTGTAAGGTGCTGAACTCCCCTATGACACCTGCGTCCAGGTTGACATGCACAGTACAGGTCGAGGGGGCTGTGCATGCAGTGCCTTTGGTTCCTGGTAGGAATCTGCCTGTTTTGTACCTGTTTTGGTACTTGGTATTTGCTCTTCTGGCGTGCGTATGGAGTGATGGCGTCTGTTCGCGGTGTGTTGTGATCTCGGTGAGGTGATGGAGCTTGCGGTTCACATGATGTTTCGGCTTGCGACGCGTATACACTAATTCAAACCTTCCTTCAACCTTCTTCAGCTTGCTACATTTCATTCATTATGCCAGGCCTGTGCCGTTTACGGACACCAGGTGGAATCCCTGGGGTAGGCTTTTTGTTGCTTTTTTGCAACTGAACTTGGCCTGATGGCCTTTCACTTTCACTTTTACTTTACTAGTTGCTTGTGTAACTTTACTTGCGGTGATACACAGATGCGTGCTATGCAAAATTGTTATCCTGCTTAGTGCCGTGTGTGAGTATACGCGGGTTATGATGTTGAGTGCTTGCTGTTTGATCTTACGGTGTTTCTCCTTCCTGTGGTGTTCTTGGAGATATATCGGCGCCTACTTTTTTGTCCCACGATTTGCCTCCATGAATTTGTGGCATGTTTTCTTGGAATTTGCTTGTTGGACATTTGCACACTTACACTTGACTTTGATTGCTGTGCTTGTATGTTTGCCAGCTACTGGCTTTTGCAGACATCTGTGCACAGACCCGTGCAGCCATGTCGTGGCCACATTCGCATTATGGCCACTTTGGGACTGGATCTTTGAATCCTGGTTGGGCTGGCGCTGCTGCACACCAACATCTTGGCATGCACACTGCTCCTTTCCAAGCTCCTGTGCCTGGACCACCTCCTCCAGGGGCCCCGCCGGGGTTTTGTCAACCTTCTATAAGGCGGGGGCGGTCTAGATCGCGATCACCCCGCGGGAGGCGTGCATCTCACAGGCTTCCGCAGGCCAAGGACTTGAAAGGTGACATGGGAAAAGACGAGTTCAACAAGTTGGTCTTGGAATGTTTGCTCTTGCTTTCTCCCGAAGACTTTGCCGACATTTGGGTTGGCATTCCCCGTGAGCTTCGGGCAGTAGCATGGCGCCCCCCACCGGGCATCATTGTGGATATTGATTCTTTGAAGGGCGTTGACCGCATCCAGATGTGTTCCAAATTGAATGCCTTGAGACGGGAGAGATGCATCCAGCTGGCTTCTCCAAGGCAGCAGTCACACTTTGAGGACGAGAATTGGACCATCACTCCCATGTCGAGGCTTTGTTGTTCACGTTTTTGGGAGTGTTTTCGTTTGCTGCCGCTGACTACCACGAATGAATCCAAGTGGAAGGCAACTGTGAAGTACCTTTCCAAATGCCCAGAGAAAGCCGATTCCTCGGATACCTCACGGCACATTGATGCCAGCACTCGTGCCTCGGATTCACTTGGTGAAGCTGTTGCTCCTGACCGTGTGCCGGGGCCCAAGTTGGCAACTCCAAAGAAAGGCCTGGCAGGATTATCTGCTTTGGCTGATGCTACTCCACTGAAAGCTGGATTGGATGCCCCTCCGGCCGACCGTAACAGTGAGGAGTTCGCAACTTGGGTTTCTGCTAGGATTCAGGCTGATGTGGATGGTTTATCTTTGGATTCATTAGAGGTGAAGCATGCAAACCGCTTTCCTTGCAAGTTGAAGCCCAGTGCTGCTTTGAAGACCCTTCCTCCTTTGGATGTCATGAGCCCCATTTACCAGCACACATTTCAGTTCTACTTGCGCAAGTTCAAGGCTTTGCTGACGGATGTGAGCCTCGGATCGGCCCCAGCTAAGTCCTTGAAGCGCTTATGCGATGCATTGAACTTGGAGGTGCGGGGCAAAGACAGTCAAGTTCCAGAAGTGCTCGCCCCATTGCGGGCCACAGACATGGTACAATGTCCCCCGTGATGGGGTGAATGTGAGGACCAGGAGCACATAGCGTCGGCTTGTGGCGCTGCCCTGTGCTTGCTTGCACTGTTGCGATTTTGGTTCCTGGGACTCACTAAGGGAAAGATGGAAGCTGAGGAGATTATGCTTCGCATCTGTGCCAGTGTATGGCTCTGCATGCTTCAAGCGCAGTCATCCCGCAGGTCTTTACACCTGCTTAAATCTTTGGGTGGCTTGCCTTGGAATTTTTCATGGGAAACTTTGTGGCATGGCTCTGTCATCTATGTGTGTGTCCCGATGTTCCCACAATACTCTTCTTTTGGTCCCCTCGCCTACGTCGGTGAGACAGACAATTTTGCCAGACGTGTGAATGAGCATTCTTGTCGATTGCTTGCTCCCAATGGCGCTGTACAGCAACCCTTTTTCCATTTTGTGAGAGCGGGAGAGTGTGCTCCCCACCTCATGCGGCTGGCAATTTGTGAGTGGATCTTTTTCCGGTTGTCCCCGCACCTGGTGATGGTTGTGCGCGGAGAGCATTAGAGGCAGACTGGATTCGGAAGATCGGTGTATTGAACCCACCTCGGGTGCACCGCTTGCTTCGGAGCAATGGTGTGACTAGCAGGAGTTCACTGGTCTTTGGGAGAAACCGCCTGGTTTGCAGACTGAGGGCCAAGACGTTTCCTTCTCCGCAAATTGTGTGCGGGCAGAAGCTTGCTCATGATGCTTGGAAACAAGGGTTGCAGCGAACCGCTGCTGCGCTTGCAGGACATCGTTTTCCTGGCTGTGGACTGTGTGCTTTGGCTGCTTGGAGGTTGTCGAGGTCAGCTTGGGTGTATGTAGTGCAGCGTGTCACCAACAACGAGTCAGGGTGGCGCCGAGCACGGGCCTTGCGCGTGTTGCGTCGGATTGCTGGCATTCGAAGAGACTTGCCATCCCCCATCGCTGTCATTTCTTGTGACATTCCCTGGGTTGGGTCGCTGCAAGCTCGCAATTTGGCCGTGCACGCGGTGCGTTCTTTGGTGGCCTCATGGCGCAGGGCGGGTCATTGGTTACCTATTTTGAGGCATGCGCGGATTCGTTTCCGGTGGGCAACTACGCCCTCTCTTGGTAGCGTTCTTTGCAGCCGTGACTTCTTTGCAGACTTTGCAATGGTGAGGCCGCCTTGTGTTTGTCGGGAGTTCCTGCTGGCAGACCCCACCTGCCCCACGGTGACCGTGGATGGTCAAGTGCACATTGCTGCATCCCAGGCTCGGATTCCATGGCCACGGCACTTGCGGAAGTTCAGAGAATTACCAGCCAACTTGCGTTTGCCACCGAGGCGGCAGCAGATCGCAGTTGCTGTGAAGCAAATGCTTCGTCGACTGCGGGACCGTTGCAAGCTGGCGGATGAGCCATGTTGGGTCGAATCCGTTGTTGCCGATTTGACTGCAGCTTTGCAAGGGCTAGCTGCTCAGCACTCTACCAGATTTCCTGTTTCGTGGCTGGAGATTTCACTGGCCCGGGAATTCCTCAGGCCTTTCTTCACGCAGGTCTTTGACCACAACCTGTCCCGTATTGGTGTGTTTTGTCCTGCCCTAGTACACGTCCAAGCTTGTGCAGCTCTTGATCTTGGTGATCATGGCACGGGGCTGGATTTTGCTTGGGAAGCTGATACGCGGAGGGCTGAAGTGATGGCTACCATGGCAAAGATTGAGGGCCTCCCGCCGCACTTGCAACCAACGCGGCTGTCCTTGGTACCAGCCAGATCTTGGTCTATCGGAACTCCCGTTTTTCTTCCAAAGTGGAAGGGTCCAGGAGTGAAGTGGCGCCTGATAGTGAACAAGCACCACGCGCCGGCGACTGGTTTGCACTCGGCTATATCTAGAGCCATTGATGTTGTTCTGGACAATATGCCCCGCGAGGCTTGGTCCGATTTTCCATCAGCCAATGCCTTCTTGGGCATGGTCTCGGACTTCAACGCTCTTGTGAAGAGCATGTTCATGGAGCCGCGTGGGTGGATTGCAGCGATGGACATGGTTGATTGTTTCCATCACCTTCCTTGCTCCGAAGCGCCGTCTATTTGGGATGCTCTTTCTGCCTTTTGGAGCGCCCGACATGTGGCTTACATCAGTGTGCCTTTACGAAGGGGCGGTGGTGCTGGTCGCCTTGGTCTGGTCTGTGACGCTGGCTGGGTTTGCTTTTCCTTCGCAGAGATTCGGGAGGTGTTGATGCACTTTACCTTGACCAACTTTGTGGCTCTGCCCGGCCTCCTCGGGCGTGAGCTGCGTGGGGCTCCAATGGGCGATGCTTTGAGTGGGGCAGTGCTGCGGCTCTTCAAGTGGAGTAGGGAGGCTGCGCAACTACCTGTTGAGGAGGCAGACACTGTTTGTTTCCGCAGGTCCTGCTCAAAGCTGGTCCATCTCTGTGGTTGCAACATGTTGGTCCTTGACGTCAGTTTCCGGGACGACTTGCGCATGTTTTGCGTGTGGGACGGGCAAGCCATCATTGATAGGGAAAGGGTGGCGCAATGGGCTATCTCCAGGCTGCGCGCCCGATACCACTACGGGTCCATGAGCTTGGAAGAGTGTGAGTTTCGGACATTCATTGGTTTGCGGACGGAGTTTGGAGATGAGGGCCTTTTTGTTGCCCCTGTCTTCCCTGACCCGTTCGGAAGCTGTAGCTACCACACGGTCGACTTGCGAATTTTGCAGCCATGGTCATCGTGGACCCCCCGTTCACAAAAGACGGCGGTCATTAAGGGATGGCTGTGCCGCATCTTTCATTTGTCCAGCTGCTCCGAGGGCAGGGCTCTTGCCTTTGAAGAGACTTTTTTGTCTTTATGTTCTTTGGCTGGATTCCCTAAAGACCTGCTTGCCAGGGTGACCAGAGATTGGATCCTTCGCTGGGTATCCGCAAAGGATGCCCGTGCAGTACAGTGCGTAAGACTTGAGGCGGAGAGGGCATTGTGGCGATTGCGTTAGAAAGTTTGCCGTCACTCATTTCACTTGCTCTTACTTGCTGTTTCTTGCTGTGCACCCCTATGGGTGCTATGTGGGGGCGATCCAGTGCAGCATTGCTGGCTGGGTCACTGTAAGGTGCTGAACTCCCCTATGACACCTGCGTCCAGGTTGACATGCACAGTACAGGTCGAGGGGGCTGTGCATGCAGTGCCTTTGGTTCCTGGTAGGAATCTGCCTGTTTTGTACCTGTTTTGGTACTTGGTATTTGCTCTTCTGGCGTGCGTATGGAGTGATGGCGTCTGTTCGCGGTGTGTTGTGATCTCGGTGAGGTGATGGAGCTTGCGGTTCACATGATGTTTCGGCTTGCGACGCGTAAACACTAATTCAAACCTTCCTTCAACCTTCTTCAGCTGGCTACATTTCATTCATTCATCCTTTACATGTGTCTCCCAGCTCTGGACCGCTGTGTCCGCCTCTGCCTTGCAATCCT